CACTCGGCTGCCGCTGCCGCTGCTGCGGCCGCGGGGGGCCTGGCGCTGGGGCTGCACCCGGGGGGCGCGCAGGGCGGCGCGGGCCTCCCGGCGCAAGCGGCGCTCTACGGGCATCCGGTCTATGGCTACTCGGCCGCGGCCGCGGCTGCCGCGCTGGCCGGCCAGCACCCGGCGCTCTCCTACCCGTACCCGCAGGTGCAGGGCGCGCACCCCGCGCACCCCGCCGACCCCATCAAGCTGGGCGCCGGCACCTTCCAGCTGGACCAGTGGCTGCGTGCATCCACCGCGGGCATGATCCTGCCCAAGATGCCCGACTTTAACTGTGAGTACCGCGCCGCCCGCGGGCCTGGGGACGGAGGAGAAGATGGGGCAGGGGCAGTCCTGGCGCACGGTTGTCTGGCGCGCCCGCCTCCGCCAGCACTTTCTTTCCCTTGCTCTCCGCTCGGAGGGAGCCGTGGAGGCGCGCCGCCTCCGCTCCGCCCGGGGCCTGCGAGGACTCCTGCGGGCTGAGCGGCGTGGGGCTGGCAGCGGACTCTTAAAATGGCCACGCACGGGTCTTGCCTTCTCTTTCTCTTTTAACGGGAAGGGGCAGTTGGAGGTGTGCGACTAAAATCTAATGATTAACCGGCAGGCCCCAGGAGAAGGAAGTGGGGGAAACTGCCGAAGAACGCCCGAGTGAGGCGGGCCTGGGGACCGGGCCGCCGGAACCAGGCGCTTATTCAGGGAAAGTGTTGACTTGATTCCCGCATCCTGGGCTCTGGAGAACCCCCCCTCTCCGCCCCCCAACCCTCCCAGGAGAGGGAGACTCGATCCAGGAGCAGGGAAAGAGAAATAGGCTTCAAGAGGCCCAGGGCCCGAGCCCAGAGCCGGCGGACCTCCTGGCCGCTGTCCGCCTCTGGAAGGGGGCTGAGTCCAGGGTGCGGTGCCCTGAGGGCCGATGGCCTGGCTTGAACTGAGCGGTGGTGAGCTCCTGAGGGCGGGAGATGCACCCTCCTTCCGGAACCCCATCGCAGGGACTCTCAGCAGCAACTGCCCGCCGAAGTGGAGGCACCCAACACAGTAGAAACCCTTCCCTCGGTAGGAGCCAGGGAGGGCCAGCCACCTCCAACTCGACAGTCGATGGACTGGGTGGCAGGGTGGCCACTCAGGCGGACACCTCCGTGAGGCTTGGGCCCGTTGGGGCTTTCCTGGGGCAGGGGCACGGCTTCGCGTGGAGCAAGATGCATAAGGCTTTATGCTTCCAGCGCCCAACACCCAAACAAAGGGACCCCATTGTTTCCGTCTGAGTAGATTTGTTTAGACTGAGGAGATGCAGGCAAGGGGTGGGGGGTGGGAGCCAAAAAGAAAACAGAAATAAACACTTGCCAGAATTCAGATTCCTCTGCTAGGAGCCATGGCTGTAACTAAACAGAGAAAAGCTAGGACCCTGAGGGCTGGAGAAGTCACAGACCGGTGAGAAAAATCTCAGCATGGGCACTGTTTGCCCTAGGCCACCCCGGCCTTTTCTCAGCTCAGCTCCCGGAGGCCCTAAGGGCCACCGATCCCTTCCCAGTGGAGAGTCACCGCCTCCTGAGCCCCCTGCAGAGAAGAGGGAAAGCTTGCTCTCACCTCTCAGTTGGGGGGCTGTTGCTTCAGACACAGCTGAGCCTGCAGATCCCGGGTCAGCCAAACCCAGGGCACCCTTTCTGATGGAAAGCTAGCCCCTGGACTTTTCATTTTGACTTGCTTCCCAGAGAATGGGGTGTTTAGTTTCCCACCGTGGGGGGCAGCAGTGGTTTCTACACTGGCGTCCCCTGGGTGCCGGGTTCCCTAGCCACCCTGGTCCTTTCGTGGGTCTGCGTGGAACTCAAGGTCACTCAGGAAATCGATTAAAGCCACATCCCTTTGCCAACACACTTCGCCCATCTGATTCCCAATTTCGACCAAGAGGTAGCCAAATTAAGAGGTAGCCAAATTAAGACGCAGCCAGCCTGAAGTCCAGAGAGGAATGTGGTCATCGAACCCTAAAAGACAGCAAGGAGCAGGGACGGGTGTGGACTGTGTCCTCAGCCCCCCCCCTCCGGTCTCCGAAAACCTGTTCGGTTTCTTTAATTGGTCATCTCTGCTGTTGGATGGCACTTCCCAAAGGGTCCCTTCCAAGCCAGTGTTTTAATTAAAGTTCTAATGTATTGTCAAGTTGGGAATTCAGGGCCTCGTTTAACTAAAGTGGGAGGCGTGGGCCTTCCCATAAAGCAAATTGCCCGTCTCGGGGGAGCCTGGGCTCGTCCAGCCCTGGGCTGGCCTCTTTCCTTTCTTGTATTGTCTAACGCTTGTCAGGCTCCTGGGAAATCAAGGGAAGTCTCGTTTTGAGGTCATAAAATTCTCTGTGATGTAACCGTGTGAAATTATGTAAATAAAGTGAGAGACCTCCTTGAGTGCCTAGAAAGCGAAGCCCCCTTCTGCCTAGGCCTTTATTTGCATACGGAGAATTGTCCCGTCTCCCCAGGCTTGGCCTCTCTGTACCCTGGGGCCTGGCGGCCAAGAAAACATTTAAAATGGGGAGGGCCTCTGATGAATACTCGTATTTAGGCCGGTGATCTGGTTCCCTTCCCTTTCCTCCCTTTCTTCTCTTTTCCCCTTTTCTCCTCCTTTTGTACCCACGGAGGCAGCCTGCAAATCCTGCCAGCTCCTAGCTGAGTGGGAAGAAGCAGTGAGTCCAGAAGCTGCCTGGATCTGGGCCTGAGTTGGGAAAGCTTGCTGGGCAGTGAGGGGTGGCTTGCCCCTTGGGGCCCTGCTTCTGGCCTTTGTCACCCTTCTTTCTCCCAGCGCCCACCCAGGTGGAAAGGGCATGGCTGGCTGATACCCCCTTTAATCAGGACACCCAGACCCTGTCTGAGATAGAAAGACTTGGTCCCATCAAACCCAAAGCGTCAGGCTCCACCTGGCCTCCAGGTCCTGGGCTCCCTGGCCCCCCTCCTCCAGCTGACGCATCCTCTGGGGAGGGGTCACTGTCAGGGACAGAAGAGGGAGACTCTGGAAGGCCAGTGGGCAGTGTGCACAGCCTTTCCTAAAGAGGCGTCGGCGGGGCGAGAGGGAGCGGGCGGAGGGCTGAGCCAGGCTGCAGCCTCATGCCCTGTTCTCCGCAGCCCAGGCGCAGTCGAACCTCCTGGGGAAGTGCCGCAGGCCGCGCACGGCCTTCACTAGCCAGCAGCTGCTCGAGCTGGAGCACCAGTTCAAGCTCAACAAGTACTTGTCCCGGCCCAAGCGCTTCGAGGTGGCCACGTCGCTGATGCTCACGGAGACCCAGGTGAGCTGCTCCGCAAACATCCTGGCCTCCAGGGGACATGGTCACCTCTGCCCTCTTGACCCTCCTCCGCCCCCAGCGTCTCCGGCTGCACCCTTCCCACCCTTAGGGTGCGGAGTGACATCGGGGAGAGTCCCAGTGTCCCGCCTGCAGGTCTGAGTCAGTAGGTTGCAGTGGGGCCCAGGAATCTGCATTCTAACCACAGTTTCCCCACCCTGAAGCAGGTGGTCCCCAGGCCACAATTGAGAAGTTTTGTTCCGGAAAGAGAGGAGGGAACACTTTGAGATTCCCAGCCTTGTACCGGTGCCCGAGCTGCTCCGCAGACCGAGGGCGTGGGTACAAGTGCGGGCACTGGGGGTCCCAGTCTCAGCTTCCGTGGCGCCCCCGCCCGGCTCTGGGGTTTGCTGCACCCCCTGGAGCTCCCGAGTCCTCCAATCTGAACCCCCCTCCGGGGCGGGTGCAGGTACCAGGGGGCTCGGAGGAACAGAGGGGGATGGAGGAGACCGTGCCTCACAGCCCGCCTGTGCCCGCAGGTGAAGATCTGGTTCCAGAACCGGCGGATGAAGTGGAAACGCAGCAAAAAGGCCAAAGAACAGGCGGCGCAGGAGGCAGAGAAGCAGAGAGGTGGCGGGGGCGCGGGCCGAGGCGGCGGCGCGGAGGACAAGGGCGACGAGGAGCTGCTGGGACCGCCAGCGCCGGGCGACAAGGGCAGCGGACGCCGCCGGCGGGACTTGAGGGACAGTGACCCCGAGGAGGACGAGGACGACGACGAGGACCGGTTTCCCTACAGCAACGGCGCCAGCACGCTCGCCGTGTCCTCCGACTGCTCCTCCGGGGCCGACTCGCCGCCCCCACGGCCCGGGCACCAGCCCCCGCCTCAGTAGGGTCCTCGGTGGGCGACAGGGCCCGCGCCCCTCGGCGGCCAGCACCCGCGCCCGGCCCACCCCGCCCATCCTGGGGACCGCCCGTCTGGGCCACAGCACCTGTCAGCTCTTCAAAGGACAGGAGAGGGAGGCCCAGCGTTCAAACTTGAACTCTTGATCGTTTCAATTTAAATTCGGTTAGCGTTTGGGGGGGCGGTATTCGGGGGCACCGGCCGCTCGCCGCCAGGCGAAGCCTCCCAGCACCCCTTCCCGAATGGAGAAGGCGGACACCTACAGTGTTAAGCGACCTGGGAACTTGAAACCTTCTCTGGACACGCCATTCTATTGAGTATTGAAAAAAAGAAAAAAATGCTTCGTGTTTATTGTATCTTAGGGGGAAAAAAAACTTGATGTCATGAGCGCTCAAACTGCTGGAAATCTCAAAGCTGTACTGTCTTTATTTTTGTACATTGTATTTATATATAAAAAGAAACGTCTACTTATGCATGCTAAATTATTATTTAGCTTCTCCCATCGCCCAGGATGGAATGTAAAATAAATTGGTTTTTTACTGGATGAGCGTGCAGGTCTCGGGGGGTTTTTGAAAGCGGGCTTTCCTGTTTTTGTGGCTGAAATGTCGGGAGGGGTTGTTCACAGTTGACCGCAGAAGGTGAAAATCCGAATCGCCACTGGGTGTCAGGACCACCTCGTCCTCTGGGCCCTGAGCTGGGCGGGGGACCGAGTCCCGCTGCCCGGGAGTCGCAGGTGCGAAGTGTTGGTAAAAGTACCTGAGGCCAGGTGTGCGCGCGTGTCCGGGTGCCTGGCTCACATCTGTCCCGGATGCTGAACCCCAGGAGAGCGACTCTGGTCTCCGGGTGTTTATTTTCTTGTTTCCTTGAGGGTCTTGTCGCTTCGCTGGCACAAGTGGAAACACACTTTGAGTGTTTCAGAAAATGAGCTTCAACCGGTTACACCTGACTGGCATTTGGGGTCCGCGTGTCCCAGGCGCCACTTTCGAGGATGTCCCTGGTGGCCTCGCAGCGCGCGGCGCTTCTCTGTCCTCGGCCTGGCCTCTCTCCTCTCCCTCCGCAGTGCAGAACTCGGCCAGGGCCGGTTTCCCGGGCTCCGTACAAAAGTCCGCGAGGACCGCAGCGGGCGGCAGGAACGCGTCCCGCCCGGGCTGCGCTGGCTCTGGGTTAATAAACCTCGGCAGCGCGCGCCATCAATCACCCGCGGGCCGCGCCATGTGCTGCACACATGGCGCGGCCCGCGCTCTCCGCCGGCTCCCCTTCCCCCATCGCTGAGCCGGGGCCTCTCTGGGCCTGGAGGAAATCGGTGATGGGGACACTGCTGCTTCCTCCCTCCCTCGTGCCTTCCGTTCTCCACTCTCCCCCCCCGTCACCTGGGCGCGGGGTGATCGCCCCCCACCCCCACCAGCTGATAAATGAGTTCAGAAGGGCCTGGCGTTTCATTCGGGTGATTACGGCGCAGGCGAGCGGGGCCACGCCTCCGCGTCGGGCCGGGTGAGATTAATATCCTCGCTGGCAGCTCATTATCACCCTGCGCTCCCTCCATAAAATCCAACCTCAGCCAAGGCCGGGGGCGCGGCTGCGGGAGCCCGGCTGGGGCAGCTGCCGGGCGGGCCTGGCCGCCTCGGGGTCCAAAGGTGCTCTGGGGGAACGGGACTGTTTTTGGAACCGGTGGGACAGCCAGAGGGCCCCTAGGAAGGGAGAGGAAGTGGGTGGAAGAGGAGAAAGACCTGCGGTTTGGGGTTAAAAAGCAACCTGCAGTCGGTGTACATCTCGTTTTAATTTCTAACACATTGGTGAGTTCAGCCTGAAGCGATCTCTTCCCCGGCTGGCTCCACATCTGGGGTTTATTCCCTGACGCCCTACTCGGCCGGCCTTGCGTTGGCACCCCCACCTCAACGCTGGGCAACCAGGAACGCATGGGGCCTGCGGGGACATCCGGCCTGGGAGTCAGGCCTCAAGCCTCAGCGCAGGTTCTGTCCCTCCGCCCCGGGAACAGACCGCTCTCTCTGCGACAAGGGGAAGAGGGCCCCCCCCCCGGGAAGACGTAATTATTATGACCCACGCCCCGGCCTCCAGCGGAGCCAGCCCAAGCTTGGCGCGGGGACTTGGCGGCCTGGAAGGCCGGACCGCCCGCGGCCCCAGCGGCTCCAGCCAGCTGCTTAATCGCAGCGGAATTTATCTCGCTAATAAATTTAATGATCAATTCGTTCTTGTCACAGTAGCTCTTCCCCAAATCAATTATAGCAAATTTAAATATAATCACTGGCTCATCCTCACCCACTCCGGGCACGACGAACAATTCATTCCGCGCCACGAGCGCCACCAGGCCCCAATTCACCTGCCTCAGGAAGCGCACCCTCACCCGTGCGTCCTGCCAACCCTGCGCAGGGAGAGGCTTTGCAGCCCCGAAGACCCGGTTCCCAGGACACGAGCCAGGTTTAGGGAGCCCGAGCCCAGAGGGAGGTGAGGCATTGTTTTCAGACAAGCCCAGGCTTCCCAGCGACCACGCGGGCCTCTGGCCTGGAGCCCTGGTGCCAGGCCAGGTCTCCCCTGCTCCGCCTTGCGACCCTCAGGAGGGCACCCCACCCAAGGCGGGGCCCCATTCTCTGGGAACCCCAGCCCACCCCGCTGGGGCTCCTTCTCTTCACAGTAAAGGGAGGTCCTCCTTGGTTCCTGGAAAGGGGCACATGGCCCGGTGCTAGTGTCTCCAGCAGGAGCAAAAGAATGGGAAGAAAGCCCGTTTTGTGATAAAGAGACCCATCCACACGAGCCCTCCAGGCGACAGCACAGGGGTTTCCTATCCAGTCCTCGCGGAACTCTGGCCCAGGGTCCGGGGTCCCCAGGAGCCCGGGAAGAGCGGGAACAAAGAATAAAGACGAATGGGCTTGTTCTTTCCAGCGGTGGACCCTCATCTACCCCATCCCCAGACGGAAGTCATTTGGCAAAAATCAGCGTAAAGGACTTTCTATGACACCGAAAAGCACAGACAATGCACGCAAGAATAGGCGAATGGGATCACACTGAACGTAAACACTTTTGTGCAGCAAAGGAAACCATAACAGAATGAAAAGGCGACCTAGGGTGGGAGAGGACACTTGCCAGCCATATGTCTGATACAGGGTTAATAGCCGAAACATATAAAGAACACATACAACTCAACACCAACCACCACAAAAATCCAATTAAAAAATAGGTAAAGGACGTGAATAGACATTTCTCTGAAGAAGGCACCCAAGTGATCCACAGCACGGAAAAGGTGGGCGATGGCACTGAATCATCAGGGAAACACAAATCACCCCCCACCCCCTCACCTGCTAGGATGGCTGTTACAAAAACAGAAGCAAAACAGAAGAAAACGGCAAGTGGCGGCGAGGATGTGGAGAAACCCAGCTTTGTGTGCTGTTAGCAGGAATGCAACTTGGTGCAGCCGCTCTGCAAAACAGTGTGGAGGGCCCTAAAACACCTAGACCTACCACATGACCCAGCAAGCCTACACACCTGGGTGGGTATCCAAAACGATTAGAAGCAGGACCTGGAAGAGAGATGTGCACCTGCGTTTCTGTCAACAGGTAACTGGATCAAGACAAATGGGCTACGCACCTACAATGGAATAGTACTCAGCCCTAAAAAAGACGGACTCCTGCTCCAGGCCACAACTTGGATGAACCTTGAGGACACTGTGCTAAGAGAAACAAGCCAGTCACAAAAATACTGCATAATTCTGCTCAGATCTGAAATCTAAAACAGTCAAACTCTTAGAAGCAGAGGGTGGAAAGGTGCTACCAGGGCTGGGAGGAAAGGGAACAGGGGACGTGTTCAGTGGGTGGGAGTTTTGGCTTTGTGACATGAATCAGTTCTAGAGACCTGCTGAGCACCCATATGTATGCAGGTAGCGCTGCTATACTAGACACGTTTGTAAAGTGGTTACGGTAGATAAAACAGACCCTCTGCCTCCTCCCGCCCTCCTAAAGACTGGGCCAACTTGCTGTGGAAAATCCAGGGCGCACAGGAGGCAGGGAGGGAGCACCCCCCCACACACCCCGGTCCCCAGCAGCCGGCGTTCGGCGCGCCAGGCTGCAGCTCTCCGTGTTGGGCACCGCCCAGCGCAGCAGGCGGGTTCCTTCAAGCACCTCCCAGGCTTGCAGGTTAACTGCTCTCAGCGGCTTCCCCTGGAACTCCACGCCACAGCCCGCGGGTGGAGGGAAGTTCCGAGTCCCCACGGAGTGGCCAGGCGAGGACTGCGCTCCACGGGTGGGGGTGACTCCCACGCGCGGCGGTGGGGGATGGAGGAGGGGGCACCGCTGGGAGGGGTTCTACGGCGAAGCAGGACCCGCTGGAAGGGGGACCCTGGGGCTGCAGGGAGCGGGCAGCGCAGGGTGTGGGCTTCGTGGGAAACCCCCGCAGGACGTGGCCCCCCCACCCTGTATCAAAGTCCTGCGCGCACTGTGTCTCCCTCAATAAAACTAATCCCTTCGGAGGCGTGACCTCCTCCAGGAATGCTGCGGGTTCCAGACCACAGGGCAAATATGGTTTTCAGATTTGGTTTTTATGGTCGGATTAAAGTTTATTTTCCATAATAGGGCACCTAATAAAACCCATAAAGCCGGGTCGGGCCTCCAGCTGGTGGCCTCGTTTAACACTTTCACTTCGTAAATCACTTTACAACGTGCCAGGTGTGTCCCAAACTGGACGCCAACAAGAAACAGCCCCCAGCCCCTCCACCCTGAACACGGCCTGCACCGCCCTTTCGAGCCCCCAGCTAGCGGGTCTGAGGTCGGGGCTGGGGCCCCCTGAGGCTGGGGTTTCAGGGGGCTGGGTTCTGGAGGGTGGGGTCTGAGG